TGGAAGGTGTCACTCCCTATCCTGCCTTTCAGGGCTCACCCTGGCAGCCTGAAGACCCTGGCTCTCCCGCCTGGACGAGAGCCAGACCTGGCCACGTGTAGTTGGCGAGGGCTGAGCAGGCACTGCGCATGTGCGGTGGGTGAGGGCGTGAGGGTGCAGTGCGCATGGGTATTAGGAGGCTAGGGCTAAGGTGTGAGCGGGCAGTGCGCATGTGTACTCTGGGTCTGCTCTTGGATGGGCGTGAGGAGGTTAGAACTCTATGGGCGTCTCGCTCCTGTCAGCTTCCAGCGTGACATATGCACAAAGGTACCTTTTATAGGTGGAAATTATAGGTGCTGGTACTTCAAAGGCCTTGGCAACCAGAGCTCCTCTTTGATAGGTGACAGTATTATTAATGGTGATTTATTGCTGGGGCCACTTTGACAACAGAAATAACCAGTTTCCCCACCTTCTTGGCTCCATTCTCCCACACCTTGCTGGTGTTTCTTTTTTTTTTTTTTTTTTTGGCCTGGTTGGAGGTTACTTTCCTCCCTGCACAAGGAGGCTGGGGCATCTGTTTAACGCATACATTCAGTGAGCTATCTTGCTTATTAACTTGTCATCAAGTGTCATAAAGTTTAGTGAAACGCTGGCAGATTGTAATCCTGTTTAGGGCAATTACCCTATTATTAAAGTGGCTTTCTCTCTCTCTCTCTTTTCCTCCCCGCTTCCTCCTCCTTCCCTTCCTTCCTTCTTTTCTCCCTCCCTCTTGTCTCCTTGTCTGTCATTTCTTTCTCCATTCTACCCTCTTTCCTGGCTGGGACTGTTCTTACCTCTGTCTGGCCTGCTCAGTCATGAGCAGAAGTCTGCTGGTCTGCGGTTATCCCAGAGTAAACTTTGCCCTGGCTGGGCAGAGCTCAGCGAGGGGTGAGTTGACTGAGAGGAGCTGGGCACCCAGATTGGCCAGGGAAGGAAGGCAGCTGCAGGGAGGGCGGGAAGACAGTGGGCTAGGGAGAGCCCTGGGCCTCTCTTAGTTCTGTGCCTCTGCTGCTTACTGCGGCTTCCTTGTCCCTCCGGTACTTTGCTGGCTCACTTTTGGATCTGGAGCTAGAGGTGGAAAGTAAAAGGGAGGTGGCAGTGGAGCCGTGGGAACACAGAACATGAGGGATCCCTTGATCTAACTTGGAGTCCTGGCTGTCCCTCCTCCGACTGACACTCAGCTTTTCAATCTATATTGAAACGGGGGAAGATCATTCTTGCCCTGTTTTGTTCAAACAATTTTAAAGAGGATCGAGTTAGGAACGAGGATGGCTTGTGACAAATCGCCGTGCAGATCTGAGGGATTATTGTGACTTCACTTGTGCTACTGTGGGGCTTCCTTTTACGTCTGAAAGAGCCTCAGGTCTTGCTATTCCAGTGCTGCTGCACAGCGACATTTTGGCCAACAATGGACTGCATATACCATGAGGGCCTATAAGATTGTATTGCCTGGTGATGTCATAGCTAAGTCAGTTTGTGCAAGGGTGCTGAGGGATGTTCGCACAATGATAAAACCACCTAGTGACATTTCTCAGGGTGTGTCCTCCACATTAAGCCATTCATGGCTGTAAATAGAAATTCATTCTCTATTTCTCCTTTTCTGAGGTTGTGATGACCTTGATTTCTCAGTCTGTTTGGGAGGCTTTGTTTGACTCATGTTCTGAACAATGGGAAATTTTAGTCACACTCATGATAAATACTTGTTATATGCACCGTGGTGGGTTAAGAATACCAAGCTAAATGAGCCAGAGGAAAGGCTGAAATAATTGAATCACAGTTTGCTGGATCTTAAAAGGATTCTGGAGACCATTTAGTTGCATTTGCTCATATCATAGATTTGTAAATTAGGCTCAAAGAAGTAGATAGGATGACTTTCTTAAAAATCTCTAGATAAATCATCATTTGGTGTTGGGGATGGAACTCAGGGCTTTGCACATGTGAGGGAAGCACTGTATCATTTCAGCCCTCTTTGGAAATTTAATTTTGAGACAGGGTCTCACTAAGTTGTCCAGGCTGAGTAGAATTCACAGACTTCAGCCTCCTGAGTGGCTGGGATTACAGGTGCCCCATTTCACCACATTCACCTAAATTATAGGCAGATCAAGGATTAGATCTTTGAACTTGTGCTTTCTCTACCAAAGCATCTTGAGCACCCAGACTCTGGAAGCTCCTTCTCTTCCCTGTAAGGAGTTTCCTCATCAACCAGCTTGCAGGAAGACATTTGCTAGCAGTAATTTACACTTTGATATGAATTTAAGCCAACTGTTAGTTCTCTCAGGTGTATTTTTTGTGCTGCTTGGGGTAGAACCCAGGGCTTTGTACATGCTAGACAAGTGCTCTGCCACTGAGCTGTATGCCCAGGAGTCTTCGCTGTTGAAATTTCATTCCTAGTGATGCCAAGCTGGGCTTTGTTTCCTGCCTGGAGTTTTTAGCACAGGTGAGAAGAGAGACACTGTAAGGACTCATGGTTCTCACCCCTACATTCACACCACTTGGCTACTCCAGTGGGCAGTGAGGGCTGGGTTCTGCTGTCTGAACCAACTGTGCTGGTTCAAGATCTCTGTGTCCACAGTTCAGAGTGAGTTTGTCAGGAGCTATCAGGGGTGAGATTGGGTGGCTGGATGGAAAACCAGCAGACAGGCTTACAGATGGAATGTAGCCAGCCATAGGGAAGGTGCTTCTGAACAAAGCACTGGCCCTTCTGTTTGTTTTCTGGTTTCTTGCTCAGAGTTGTAGAACACTAGAAGGCAGGCTGGTATTAACAGCCTAAAATTCTCAGTGCCTGGTGTAGAGGAGCTTCTGAGCCCCTCCTGAAGTTTGGGCATGGCGCTGTGCCAGGTGATGAGGGTCATGGAGCCCACATCTAGAGTCAGAGCTACAGACAGAAGAGGGGAAGAGATTTCCTACTTCAGTATGCTGGGCCTCCCTGATCTGCCCGTAGAGTGAACCACTGCGCTCTTTCTGTGGGTCACTTTGACCCATTTGCAGAATGCAGGGAGATTCACCAGAGAAAATGTATCCATGGGACTTGCTGGTTGGACAAGCAAAGGAAATACAAAGGATTTGGAAATGACCTGAGGTTTAGAGCTTAGAAAGGGAGGGAGAGTGGGGCCATCAGAGGAATACAGCGCTTCTGGTTTTAGGCTTGCAGTTTGCTGTGAGATAAGGCAGCCCCATGCAGACATCCTGTGGACTTTGGAGACTTTAGAGAGGGGCCTGGTGCTTGGGGCAATGTCCAGGGCAGAGATGGCCATACAGGGCCTTCACTTAGGTGTTGCCTGAAGCCTTGGAAAGACACTGTGCCTCCCAGCCAGGTAGGACAGCAAGTGGCATTGTCCTCCACTCTGTCCTAGGGTGGTCATTTGCAAGCTTGGTGAGCTGTCCAGCTGCCCTGTTGGTCCTGGAGGACAAAGAGGAGTGAGGGGTGAGGAAAACCCAAGGTAGGCTATCTCCTCCCTTCCCCCTAGGATTTTGGGGCCCTGTGTGTTCCTGACTCACAGGGACTGGCTCTGACTCCTCGGGGGCCCTGCCAGGTCAAGGTGCAGGCCAAGGTTTCTCTTTTCCCTCTGAAATCCAAAGGAGAAGACCTGTGTTTTACCATCTTTACTGGCAGTTTCATATGGTCTGGCCTCATGTATATCATTAACTAATTGTGTGATCTTGTAGTGGACTCATCTGAAAAATAGAGGCAGCACACTGACCCCACCAACCTCCTGGGATTACTGTAGCTGATAGTGAGTGAGGTAGTGGTGAGCAGGCATTTGGTAAACTCTACAACGATATGCACAGTTCCTTCTGCAATTGTGGCTCTGTTATCTGGAGCACTGATTCCCCCTTCTCAAAGGAGCTCCAGGGGCAAAATTCTGACCCTGGGCTTCCTGGAAGGACTAGATTCCTGGTTTATCAGGCAAGGTGAGCCCTTCTTCCAAGAACCAAGTGGGTGAAGGAGGATCCCTGCTTTTAGGGGAGCTTCTCAGAACCATATCACTCTCTCTTGCATCTGAGGAGGGTGGCCACTTTGGTTCTGTTTGGACTTACCGCTCTGCCTGTGCCTAGGCCAGCCCATCTCCCCAGCACCCAAGAGATGTCAGACCCGAAAGGCAGCCGTCTGGCTCTAGTTCTGACAGGTGCTCAGCCACAGCCTTAAGATAAGGGAGATGGGCAGGTTGAGCTCCATCCCTCCCTGCACTGATAATTGCTATGCAATAAAGAGCCCTGTAATTGCTAAATAAAATCTCTTGCCCCGCCAGGATAGATTTATGGCTGAAGCAGCTTATCTGAGCAGAGGCTGTCTCTTGAGTATACATGGGTGTGCGTGCAATGGGAGGAGAGAGAAGGCAGTTTTGCAGAACTTCCAGGGCCACCTTTCCTGTCTTCCCTGAAGTATATTCATGTCTCTTTGAATGGAGGAACATGTTCTGCAAACTGTGTTGTTGGGTGATTTTGTCATATGAATATTGTAGAGTGTACACCTAGATGACAGGTCAGTTGCTGGACATGGTCTTGTGATGCCTTCAAGAGACACAATAAACAGGAGTTTGAAGCTCCTGTTGGTGCATCACAGAATACTCCTCACAGTAAGCTAAAAAATCCCTGCAAGAGTATACTCTGAAATAACGATAGAGTATGGCATGCACCCGTACATGTCTCTAATCTCAGTACTCTGGAGGTTGAGGCAGGAGAGTTATGTTTGAACCCAACCTAGAGAGCTCAGAGCCTGCCTGGACTACAAAAAGAATAGTATAATAAATGCATAGGGGCTGGGGATTTAGCTCAGCGGCAAAAGCGCCTGCCTGGCAAGCGCAAGGTCGTGAGTTCGGTTCCTGGTACCGGAGAAAAACCAAAAAAAAAAACAAAACAAAACAAAAAAAATGCATAAATAACCCAATAACATCAATAACATAGTTGTTGTTTATTAATATTATCAAATATCAAGAACTATTCATTTTTGCATATGCTATCCTTTTTTTGTTTGTTTTTAGTGGTACTGGGGATTGAAGAACCACTGAGCTGTATACCCCTCTGCCCTCCGCCTGTCGCCCCCTGTTCCGACCCCGCCACGCACGCGGCAGAGGCCATCCTGGCGAACACACTGACCGACTTCGCCCTGAAGTTCTACCGCGCCTTTGTGGCCACGAAGAACTCTGAAACCAATGTGGCCTTCTCCCGCTTCAGCATTGCTGGCCTGCTCACGCAGGTCCTGCTGGGTAAGGGTGGAGAAAGGGTTCTGTGGGTGCGGGGAGGGGCCTCACTTCCATCCTGAACACTCTTTTGTTTAGTGGTGATGTGCACACACTTGAGATCCCAGGACTCTGGGAGGCTGAGGCAGGAGGATCCCAAGTTCAGGCGCAGCCTAGAGCAACTTCACAAGAGGCTGGCTCAGAGTGAAAAATTAAAAAGGACTGGGAGTGTGGCTCAGTGTGGCCCTTTGTGTTTTTTATTTTGAGACAGTCTCATTAAACTGGCCAGGCTGAGCTGGAACTTGGAATCTTCCTGCCTTAGCCTCCCAAGTACCTGGGATTGTAAACTGCACCACCACACCTGGCTATGCTATGCTCATACTGGCAGCACAGTAGGTTTGTTTAATCAGTGTCACCACAAACACATGAGTGATGTCATGTGGTATAATGTTACAGGGCTGTGGTGTCACTAGGAGATAGGAGTTGTCAGCTCTATGACTGTATGAGACCACCGTCATGTGTGTGGACTCTGACTGGCTGGACTGATTGTGGGTGATGACTGTATTATCCAGAAGATCTCTTATGATCTGCCAGGATTTATGTATGGATGGATTTTTCCAGAACCTAGCACAGTGTAGATGCCTCAGGCAATATTTGCCTGTAATGATAATAATGATGATGAAGACTGAGGCCTGGGAAAGGGACTGTTTTTTGACATGTTTAACTTAATTCAATTCAGTCAGTATTTAACAGCTACCCAGTCTTGCTTGGGGCTAAAAAAGCTATGATGGGGGCGCAGCAAAGGAGGAAGTCTGGAAAATGTCAGGAAGAATGACCCAGACTCCTATGTTTGGTACCTTGGTCTCATCTGGGGCTCCAGGATGGATAGAAGTGGGAAGGAGCAAGGGCAGCTGGGGTGCTGTCGACTCCTGGTTCACAAGTAGCTTCTGGAACCAGACACACTGGGTAGAATCCCTCCTCTGTCATTTACCACCTGTGGATTCTTAGGTGGGCTTCTTATCTTTTGAGCTCAGCTTTCTCACCTCTAAATTAGGGACATTTGTGCTTCCAAGATGCTTCCAATTGTGCTTCCCTAGGTTGATGTGAAGTTACATGAGTTGTGGGTACAGTGCTGGGTCACTTGCTCAGTCAACAACATCACCAACATGGTGATGGAGATGAACCACCAGGACCAACTGATGAGGCCAGGCTGGGACAGCCAAAGAGTAAAGTGACTGTCACCAGTGGGGGCTCTATATGTGTTGGCTATATCATTCTTTCATCATTTTGTAAAATTTAAAATTAATTTATTTAATAGGTTATATATATATAAGCAATTTAAAGATAAAAAGGTATAAAGAAATATATAGACAAGAGGAAAAGTCACTCATATCTGTATCCCTCAGCTATCATGCTCCTTCTTTGCAGAGGCAGGCAGGCAGCTATTTTTGAGGTGTTTTTTTTTTCCTGTTTTGTTTTTTGTTTGTTTTTTGAGGCAGGGTCTCGCTTTGTAGTACAGTCTGGTCAAGCCCACTATGGAATCCAAGTTGGCCTTGAACTTGTGGCAATCTTCCTGCCTCAGCCTCCCAACTGTTGGGATGACAGGCATGTGCCACAGTGCCTGGCTGGGGGTGTTCTTACTGAGACTGTCCAGATACACATCAGCATATGGTTATGATATACAAACTAATACTCACTGAGACTTGCCACGCATCCAGCACAGTTTTAAGGGCTTTGCATATTAGTTCCTTGAATGCTCATAACAGATCTCTTCTAAGAGATCTTCTAAGGGAGATCATAATAGATCATAACAGATCTCTTCTAAGGGAGACACTTCTAAGGTAGGTATCAGTGTCACTCCTCAGAACACATAGCACATAATTATAACATCTTCCCTGTATGCTTTTCTAATTTCAACATTTATTGAAGTCTTCCCAACCCTAACATATAAGAAATCTTCCCTAAATAAAGATAATAATGAGGGAGGAGGGACTATGGTTATTTTGGGAGACTTCTTAAAAGAAGAGGGTTGTGAAGGATGGGAAAGAACACTGGTTTCATACCTGGCATTTGGGGAATACCCAGAGAGACTTCCATATCTTCCTCCATTTTCTCCACAGCCTAGCAGGGTAATGTGGGTATTGCTATGTCTGTCTTTATAGGTGAGAATAATAGACCAGAAGATCTAAGCCCCAAGCTGTGCCCTGTGGGTTGCCTGACTATTAGCCTGGCACTTTTGCTGTTGCATAGTGGTAGGATGGGGCAAGCCTGAGCATGTGTGATGCAGTGAGAGAGAAAGCAGACAGATAGGGATCAGATGGTGGAGCTGGAGTTCATGGGCAGGGGATGGGAGGGGACAGAGACGAGGATGTGGGCCCATGATCGTCTCTTCAGCTTTAACCTAGGCTCAAAAGGATCAAAGTAGAGAGGCCACTCACTGGCCTCTTCTCCTTGAGTCCCCAGTGTCCAGGGACCAGAGGGACCCGTGCAGATGTTGGGGTGGGCTTCTATACAGACTTCTGGGGACAGAGGAATGGTTTTTTTGTTTGTTGTGTTTGGAAAGGCTAGAGCAAGGGACACACCAGAGCGAGGAGCTGAATGGTGGTCTGGTCAGTTGGACCTGGTCAGCCAACCCCAGAAATAGATGGGGTGGCCCAAAATGCTTTCTATTTTTTTAAAAAATGCTTTCATTGTACTTTCACAGCATAGTCTTCATTGTTGCAGGTATTTATTTCTTTATTTATTGCTGGCTATGTGTCCAGCCCTTCTTTGAGAGAAGTATTTACTGAGCCTTAGGTATAACAGTGAGCAACTGAGATCAAATAATTAAGTATAAAGTGCCATAATGAGGACTGGAATGTACTATGTGCACACATGGGCATAGCTACCACGTCTAGTCTGGGTGGTCATAAGGGCTGCTCAGGGAGAAGCTGTGTTGAAATGGAGACCTGGAGAGCAATGGGAGGGCGTTAGAGGGAAGAGGTGAATCTTCTAAGCAGGGGAGAGCTGGGGTGAGAAGGCTCCTCTTTTATTTATTTATTTATTTATTTATTTATTTATTTCTGGTACCGGGAACCGAACTCACTGCCACTGAGCTAAATTCCCAGCCCCAAGGCTCATCTTTTAGACCTGTAGGAAGTTAATCATGGCTGGAGGTAGGGTGCAGGGGACAAGGTACAGTGCCAGCACACACAGGGCAGATGTCCATAATGATGTGTTGAGTGAATTGATGAGAGCGAAGTGGCAACTGTGCAGATCCTTATAGGCCCTGGTCTGTTTTTTAAACCTTGTCTGAAGGCCAGTGTGGGAAGCCAGTCTGCAATGCTGTAGGGTTTTCATCGGTCGTGCTTGGCGATCTTGCTGGTGAAGCCACGTTGGGGTTGGATAGTTAAGGTTCTTCCAGTCTGTGGGGTTTAGTGTGGGGTGCAAAGACGTTGGGTAAAGCCAGGGCATTCAGGTTAAGCGTGTTAAAAGGGTGAAGGAGTTATGTATTGGCAAGGGTGAGGCTGAGGGGCTGGCTCCTGCACTCTGAGCAGACAGGAGGGGGCAAATTGGAGGGAGGAGAGGATGAGTGGGTTGGAGGGGTCTGAGGTTTGGGAAGGGTGCATGAGAGGGGCTGTGAATGATGACTTTGGGATTGGGTGGCTGAGGAGACATGGAGGTGACGGTGACTACAGTGAACAGATGGCCTGGGCTGAGAGCAAGGCATCTAAGTGGAGTTCAGTGTCCCCAGGGTGATGAGCGCACTGGGGGCAAAGAAAGACTGGGCATTGTGGCCTAAGGCAGTAGCAGCTGACAGGGACAAGGAGAGAAAGTGACATGGTGTTAGCCACAGTGGGAAGTACAGAGAAGAGTGAGACCCAGTCCTTGTACTCAACCATAACACGATGTGGCTGGGGACAACCCACCTGTCTCATATGGGGTCATCACTCCAGGTGGCAGCCAGACAAGTGGTATAAAGGTTACATGGCCCTGTCACTTGCCTCAAGGCCACAGTAAGTACTGCTCAGTGAAAGCCTCATGTCATCTATACCAAATGCTTTAAACATCTGTCTACAGCCTATTGCATTATAAGTGGAATTTCAGGGCACGGATCTGGGTTTGGAGTCCTCACTTATTGCTTACTGGTGGTGGAGCCTTATACCTGACAAAGCTCCATCTGTCAGATGCAAGTAGCTGGTCTTAGGCCTTGTGCTGAAGGTTAATGACCTAAGCAGGTAAAGCATCAGCTATAGGTACATGCTGCTAGGTGGTGATGGTGGTTGATATCATTAGATAACAGAAGGAATTTGAAGTTCAGAGAGGGTAGGTGATTTGTCCAAGGTCACACATCTAGGAAGTGGAAGCTCCAACTCAAACCAGTTTAACACCAAAGACTCATGCCACTAAGTCATACTACGTTTCACATGAACTGAGTGACACCAAGCTCAGAGAGGCCATTGACTTGTCCTGGGTCACCCGATAGTAAGTGGAGGAGTTGGAACTGAGTCTGGGTTGGCATGATCTGGACCCCCACTGTTGTTCCTTTCACATCCTAACTTGCTTCTAGTTGGGTGGAACTGGTGGCTCCACCTGGGCTGGCTCCACAGTGCCTTTGAAAACGAGGGGGCTCATTTACTGAGGGTTTTGCCTCTTTTTATGAGTTCTGCTTTTCCGAGCAGAACTGAGGGCCCAGCAGAGTGCAGGGCCCAAGAACAGTGGGAGGGGCACCCTGGGCTCCTGAGGATGGGGACTCTGGTTGCAGCTGCGCGCCTTACTCCTCCTGGGTGATCCCACGTGGCCACCTCTCTGTCTCCTCATCTGTGGAATGGGAGTGATAATTGCCTTGAGCATCTTACGGGATTGCAGTGAGGCTTGAATTAGATGATGGGAGGAAACATTCTTTGAAGACTAATGCACCTTGTCATCAAGTTCTCAGTAAGGTATATTTTACCTGGAGAGAGAATCCTGGACTCGATCCCAGGAGTCCGTCTCTTTCTTCACCTTACCCTGTGCCCAGGCTTGCGGGCAGCAGCAGTAGCAAAACC